GGGCCCCGAATTAGACCCAGATCCAGAACCCCCAAAGTCTGTGGTGTTGAAAGAGGAAGGAGAAGGAAAGTGAGAAGGAAAGAGGGAAATTGCGGCATTTTCAGACCTAATTCCACAAATGCAATGAAAACCCATTTAAGAAAAAGATGCATTTGGGGAAAAAAAACTTTTTTGCATTGTTAGAAACTTCAGTTTTTCTTATGAATCTCCATTAGAGGCTTTTAAGGTCAGGCAAGAGCTGAATTTAGATCCCTTGTTGGGGGAGCCTCTGAACTGGGAAAGGAGACCCGGACCCCCCATAACTCCCCATAGCTGAATCAGGGCCTGGGGTGGGGGGGGGACCATGGGGGGCCAATGGGGGGGTCTAAGGTGCTCCTACAAAATTGGCTTCCCCAAAACTATCCCTTTTGTGAAGGAGTCTGGAGACCCTCGTTTGAGGTGGTCTTGGGGGGCTGCAGGGGGCCCTAATTTGGGATGGGGACAGGAAAGAGGCCTGAACCCCCCCCCACAATAATCCAAAGGCAGGTAGGAGGGCTGAATATTGGGGGGAGAAGAGAAGTTTGGGGTAACCCAGGAAGCTGGAGGGTTGAGGGGAGGGAAGGGTTGGGAGGCCCCAGGAACATCAGTCCAGACATCCTTACTGTGCCCCCTCCCCATATTCTCCCCCATCTGAAGGAAGAGGGAGACCAAGGTGTGGATATTACTTTCACTCCAGCCCAGAGAGTTTCTGGTGGTCTCTTCACCCCCCTCCCCACATATTTCCTGCTGCTTTGGGGGGCAAAGAGGCCCCACTCCTCCCTGCAGAGAGTAGAGCAGTCTGCTGCACCACTTGAGCTTCTGCCTGCCTTTCTCCAGGGTGGGAGGATGGAGGGAGCTCAACAGGAAGGTCCTTCCCCTCCCCCTCCTTCCTCTCCACTCCAGACCCCCAGCAACTCTCCATCTCCCCCAGGGAGGCCCACTGGCACCCCCTCCCCCTCCCTCCTCCAGGGGGCGTCTCGGGGGAGCAACAGCCCTGCGGTGGGTATGTGGGGGGGGTCTGAACTCCTCCCCCCGATTGCCATCTAGGGGGCTGGAGAGGGGCTCATTTTGGGAGGGCAGGAAAGAAAGAGGCCAGGAGCCTCCCCCGCAAAGACCACCCGCGTCCCCCTTCCACCTGCGCCCTCCA